GGTTTAGGGTTTTAGGGATTTTTAGGGTTTTAGGGTTTAGGGTTTTAGGGATTTTTAGGGTTTTAGGGTTTAGGGTTTAGGGTTTAGGGTTTTAGAGTTTAGGGTTTAGGGTTTTAGGGTTTAGGGTTTATGGCCTTATAAAGTAGTTCTCCAAGTTAGGGTCCCTGTTCTTATTGGGTTTAGGCTTTAGGCGCGTGCCTTGTATTTGGAGGTCCTCTGGGGTTTAGGGGTTTAGGGTTTTGGGTTTAGGGTTTAGGGTTTAGGGTTTAGGGTTTAGGGTTTAGGGTCCCTTTTATCATAGGGTGCCGTACCATCCTGGGGACTTAAACAGGGACCCTAGTTTAGAGAACTTCCCATAGATGTCTGTAGGGTTTAGGGTTTAGGGTTTAGGGTTGAAAGGGGTCTATGAGGCATCCAGGAAGTTGAGCATTGCAGGTTTCGAGTCTGTGCGCTGGGGATCCGACCCACTGAACACAGGATCCATCGCAAACTGCAGACCTTCTCACAGCGCTTCACCCCAAACCCTAAACCTTGAACCCGGAACCCTGAAATCTAAACCCGAAGCCTGAAACCTTTAAGCTCCTACAAGTTCTACACCGCCGGGGTTCATTTATACTTTTGGGATCAGGGTTTAGGGTTGGGGGTTTGAATTTCGGATCTATAGTTTAGGGTTGTCCTTGTATGAAAACTTGGCAGGATGTAGGAAACAAGGCCACGCCCTTAGGCCTTATAGCTACCTGACCTAAGGCTCTAACCCCCAAACCCCAAGCATCCCCATTCCCTACAGCGAAGTCCAGAAAGTTGGAGCATGGGTCTAGGAGGATTAGTGCTAGGATCCCTTATGCTCTATTTTAAGGGCATGAGGATAATGATGTTCCAACTTTCTGGCTTCTACTCTAAGCCCTAAGCCCCAAACCTTAATTCAGCCACCTGACATAAGGCTCTAACCCCCACACCCCGAGCATCCCCCAACCCTAAGCCCAAAGCCCTAAACCCTAATTCTTGAACAGTTCAACCCTCCAAAACACCCAAGTGCACCGAGGAACAAGTCTGGCTGTGAGACGCACTACCGACACGGCTGGGTCAAAGTCGAAGGACAGATTTCTGGGTTCAGGGTTTAGGAGTCCCAGCTTGATTCACGGTTTAGGGTTTAGGGTTTAGGGTTTAGGGTTTAGGGTTTAGGGTTTGCCTTGGAGGTTCCTATTATTATAACTCCAGTATAATATGCCCCCCCAAACCCGATTCTAATTATTAAGGCCCCCTACCTTAGGCATCTTGTTCGTTTGTCTGGCTTGTGGGCCCACTGCTGTGAGAGCTTACGAGTTGAAGTCGAGGGTGGTTGGGGGGAGGGTTAGGGCCTGAAGGAAACCCAAAGCCTCTGAAGGAATCAATGACTAAGCCGCTGAAGGAACGAATGACTGAATACATGAATGGATGAATGCATGAACGAACGAATGAACTGACTGAATACATTAAAAGGATGAATGAACGAACGAATGAACATGCCTGAATACATGAATCAATGGAGGAACGAATGAAGGAATGAAGGAATGAATGAGTGAATG